GATTGTGTGTCCTGTCTGCGCGGACCCTCAACCTCCAACTGCCGCTTTTCTGGATGTGGTGGAATGTGCGCGCGCGCACGCACACACAAACACACACTCACGTGGAGATCCACGAAGAGGGTGGGGTGGCACTGAGGGGGCGCGGCCACAAAGGAAACAAGTGGACATCCATATTTAAAGACGGGAGGACATCGGGTGGATTTAAACACCTGGACAGATGCTGACGCTTCACAGCTGCAGGATTCCCTCTGAACTCATTCATTTCCTCTCCTTCCTCTCTGTATATGTTCACACTCCTCTCCTCCAGCTAGTGGCGCTTTAATGGAGGTTAATAAGCTCCCACTAATGGTTTCATTAAAGGGTTTAACATCTGCCGCAGCGCAGGCATTTACCTGCTGCGGGAGGTGAAAATATCTTGACAGTTTATGAAGTTTTAATACAAAAGGGAAAATCCTTAGAAATAAAACGTTGGGTTTGTGATGCACTCTTCAGTGTTTGTCTTTTTCCTCTAAGACCCACACCAGTTAAGGCTGATCCTGTCATGAACAGAACTTGGAGGACCCGTGATGACACAAAACACAGGAAGATGTTTTAAAAGTCCAGGAGCTAAGACGTGGAGGTGTTATCGGGGTAATACTCAGGTGAGGGCAGAGAAGAAGACAGGTGTGGAAAACAAGGTCAAGGGACTGTGATCAGGCAGGCAGGAAGGAAGGAAGGAAGGAAGGAAGACATACTAGCAAAAGTGTTCAATAATCTGGCAGAGTGCTGGTGGTTGACTGAGCTGGTGAGCCAGGTGTGCTGCATGAGCTTGATGAGGGGATCAGGTGTGCTGCATGAAGGCTGATGAGGTGAATGATGGTACATGGAGGTCAGGGCATGGCAGGGTCATGACAGATTCTAGTGGAGACTTTGTCTTAGGCCTCCAAAAACTTGCATCCACACCACCTCGTTAAAAAAAACTGTCCACACATACCCGGATAAATACGTTGTTAAGGACATGCCAGACCTGTAGGCGGCAGTACTTCCCCCGAATTGTATCCAGTCAGCGTCGTCTGTGGTCTTCCGCAAGGAGCAGTAATTCCTCTTGCAAAAACAAACAAGCAAAAAGCGCTTGGACAATTGATAAAGCGAGCGCAGCTCTGAGGGCATCATGCTGTCGGCTAGTGTAAACACAGGTCGCACACGTGATGTCAGCATTTTTTGTCGCAGAAAGTGACGTTGCGGACCTTAAAACTCGGTTTTGTCTGTCCACACGCAGACACCCAAAACGGAGAAAACGCAGATCTTCACTTGGCCGGAGTTTTAAAAGATCCGTTTTCGTGTGAAAAAAACGCCGTTTTCATGTGGATGACAGGCCAACACGTAGAAAAATATCTACGTTTTGGCAGATCCCCGGCTACGTGTGGACAGGGCCTCATATTTAGTCTAAATGTTTGTAAAATAACTGACTTCACTTCTTTGTAGCTATTCATTAGCCACCAGAATGCACCACATTGGTTATGGGTTCAATTATTCATGACCTGTCTGGCTGTAAAGCGATCAGAATGGATATCTAGGTGACAAAAACAAGCCTCACAGTTTTACTCTCAAAAGTGGAGAGTTATTCTGCTATTTTGCCCCACCTGATATAAAAAAGGTTATCAGATATGTTTTTGTTTGTTTTTAATCTCAATGGACATTGAGACAGCAGTAAAAGAAAAACGTGGAGAGGAAAGTAAGAGGCGAGTGAAAAGTTCACAAAAATAAACAATGAAGGCTGTACAAGAATCCACTTGTAGGCCTGCAGAAGAGAAAAAAAGGCACAAAAATACAACAGAAACAAGATCACCGTGCCAAACAGCATAAGGACTTATAACAGTAACAGTATTTGCTCATAAGCACACAATAATTCCATTCATTCCATTTTATTTATAAAGCACATTTCTGCACGGCCGAGGCCAACCTAAGTGCAAAAGAGCATAAAAATCAACACATGGGAAGAAAGTAATGAAAGTAGTAGCAACTACTATAAAATCAACAATAAAAATAAAGCAGGTATGCAGTACAAGGCTAACTAGGCTGAAGTAAAAGCCAAGGAATAAAAATGAGCTTTCAGGCGTGATTTAAAATCAGAGGGGGGGGGGGGGGGGGGGGGCATTCTCACTGCTAGAGGGAGTTGGTTCCAGAGACGAGAACACTCGTTCTCCTCGTGTCCTCACCCGAACACTTGGGACCTGTAACAGGTGCTGGTCTGCTGACCGAAGAATTTGACCAGATCCGTTGGGCTGAACCAGCTGATTCAAGTACAGAGGCGCATAAAGATAGCGTGACAAAAAACAAGAAGTACATTTTAAACTGGATGCGGTAGCGCACCGGGAGCCAGCGCACCGGGAGCCAGCGCACCGGGAGCCAGCGCACCGGGAGCCAGCGCACCGGGAGCCAGCGCACCGGGAGCCAGCACACCGGGAGCCAGCGCACCGGGAGCCAGCGCAGCTGGGCCAGAACATTAATAATAATTCATTCATGGTGCATTTAGTAATGGTGAATGGCCTGTATTTGATATAGTGCCTTCAAGAGTCGTGGAACCCCCCAAAGTGCTTTACAACACAACCAGTGATGAGCTACACTGTAGCCACAGCTGCCCCGGGGCACACTGACAGAGGCGAGTCTACCACACACAGGCGCCACCGGTCCCTCTGACCACCACCAGCAGGCAAGGTGGGTCAAGTGTCTTGCCCAAGGACACAACGACAGGCTGTGTCTCAATTCAGCGTCTGCATCCTTCGTCGGCCGGTTACGTCACAGCGCCGCGACTAGGCCTGTCCCAATTCGAAGACTCCTTCAAATGCGGTCGACGAATGCGGCCTTCTTTTCGCCTGAATGAAGGATGGGTCGGGTGTATCCTTCAATAGGTAGCATTTCCCAAGATGCCTTGCGGGCCGGCCAGCAGAAAAACTTAAAAACAATGGCGGACAGTGAAGCGGGAGCTGTCGGAGAGGATTGCGCATATAAATGTCAGTATAAACTTGAAAACTGTTAGGTTAAGGACTTTTTGTGATACATGAACGTTATTTTAGTTTGAAATGTTACAGTAAAAGTGCTTGTGTTGCGGTCTCGGCTCGTATGTTCGGCCGCTCGGTGTCGCACTTCTCCCGCTACGTTTTCCCCCTGATTTTAATAGAAGTTTGTATTTTAGGGACAAAAGAGAAAACCAGGGAATTTATTAAGCTTAGGGCGGAGATGGACCACATGATCACTGGAGCAAAGCATTCGGCGGCTGTGGCATGGAGGTACAATAACATCTCATATTTTAAAAACTTGTTTGAGTTTATTTTTTCTGCGAAAACATGAAAGGAATAACCCGTTGTCCACTTTTCTCTTCCTGTTGTTTTTTCTTACATTTGTTAAGACTATTCTGGAGAAAATGGGCGTCCAGCGGAAGGTGACAGCGATGACCAGCTTCTGGATCTGATCAGGGAGGACATGAGGCTGCAGAGGGAGGCAGAGCAGCAGAGGGCACAGGAGAGAAGGAAGAACTTTGACAGCTTTTTACTTTGCTAGAAAAAACTGGTTAAGAAAGATTAAACATGTACATATAAAAGAAATATCTAAATAAAATCAGTTCTGTATTAAACTCTTGAATTTTATTTTTGTTTACAAATGAGAATTGTTTACTAGAGGGTATCCGCTGGGTCTTGAAAAGTCTTAAAAGGTGATAAATCGGTTTTGGTCAAATTAAGACCCTTAGAAAGTATTAAAAACTATTATCACATCTTTGCTCAGGCTCAGCTTGTCGAAAGTATTTTCTCTGAATTAGCTCTCCAACAGTCAAGGAAATGATTAACCCCCAGAGACCCACGGTTGTAATATTACAACATCAGATTTAAGTCTACAAGAATAAACCTTCCCCAATTTTTTTCTTTTTAAAACTACATTTACATTGCTAATAGGTCCTATTGTTCAGTTCTGCAACACTATTGGCTGTTAAAATGTGTAAATAGGCCCGTTTATCTGGCCTCCTAGGACAACATGTGAAAGGTTAAAAAAAGATTTTGCAGTTGTTTTCTAAATTTGGGTCTCTGGGGGTTAAAAAGCTAAATAAAACGTTGAGCTCCATCGTTTAAAGTTCCTTCTCCCTTCTGCCCAGCGGTTCCACGGTTGCTAGGCGACGGAACGTTCGCGGAGGGAGTTCATGAAGGCTAGGCCTGTCCAAATTCACAGCCGTTAACATCCGGTCTACCCGGCCGACGGAGGACGCAGCCCACGTCGGCCGGGTGGGCTGGGTCCTTCGAAGGATGCAGACCCTGAATTGAGACACAGCGACAGACTGAGCGGGGCTCGAACCTGCAACCTTTTGATTATAGATCGAGCACTTAACTGCTGTGCCACCATCGCCCTAGTACCAACCACAATCCAAGGTTATGTCAAAAATACCCAAGTCCATACCTGTGAGAACATCATGTGAACGACGAGTGTGCATACATACGCTTGTGTATGTAGATTTCTCTACACGAGTGTCCAGTAGAGGTGAGGGGCCACAGACCTGCCCCCAAAACCCCCTGAAGGACATGAAAGAGATCTGAGCCCAGGCACCCAGAGGTCCCTCCTAAGCATGGAAACCCCAGGGAGCAGCCCCCCCCCCCCCCCCCCCCCCCCCCCAAGAGGCGCAAGATCGCCCCCCTCCTGAGGGACCCTAAAGTATTTTAAGGCCAGAGAGGACACAAAATCCCTCCAGTAAGTTCTGGGTATTCATCGAGGACTCCTCTCCATTAGACAAGCAAAGAAAACCTCCCAAGATGCCCAAACCATCACAGCTGACTTCTTTCAACACAAAAAAGCAGGAAATGTTCTTAAAGCGTCCCCATGGATGATGGAGTCCACCGTGACTCTGACAATGGGACTGAACTCAGTCACAAAAAGAAGCTCATTTCAGCTGATTGCATTCAGGATCACATTCCTTTGGTCACGATCCAACCAGGTGAAGGTGGAACGTTGTCGGAACAATAAATCAAGAACTGTACCTTCCAGCTCAGCTCCGCCTTTTCCACGACTGACCAGAGTAAAGCCTTCCATCCTAAACCGGGATTCATCCCTCCAGCTCCACACCGTCCCTGAAGAACAAGACACCAAAGAGAGGGAGAACCACCTTTTACCACAAAGCACACTGAGCATTGAGCAATGATTATTTGAAACCAATATTATGTATCATCAATCAGCCGGACGTGTTTTAATGTACTAGTTCCAATATAGATAAAAAATAAAGATAAATTAATAACTTAATGCGTCTGTAAACAACTGACTGGTATCTGGTTAAACACTGTAAACAAACTATATCTGTAAAATACGTCAATATAAACAACTGAAAAACTTGCAGTTTGTTTTTAAATGTTTTAAATTGTTACCTGAGATAATTAACTTATGGTATAACAATATTTAATCATCTCATTAAGCATCCATGTCACCTAAACAACTCAAGAACGTGGAAACAATCTGCTGGAGATATTCAAAGATGTTGCTTTGATATTTTTGTCTCATCCCTTCATTTCTTTTCTCGTGTCTTTACTGCAGCCACGCGCCAGGAGACTCTTTTTTTAGCGTGTGTGTGTTTGTGATTGTCATGAGAGTTATTGGTATAAAAATTCAATTAACGTCCTGCTGGAGAATTTATGTGCTCTTGGTGAGAAGTTACGTCTTTGTTAAAGGGACTTTACGGACTTTTGAATTTTTATGCTCGCGATTGCCCCCTCAGGCCAAAAGCTTAATGGCAGCTTCAATAGTGGGCTCGTGCACGAGGTGCGCATGCTGTACGTGCACACTCCTTAACAAAAATAACAGCTGAGACAGTCCCGTGTGTGTGTGTGGGGGGTGGGGGGGGGGGGGGGGTGGGGGGCAGAGGACAGAGGACAGGAGAACACACAGCTAATTAATTAATTAATTTGGTTCTGTACCTTTCTCTTCAGCACAGCCGACAAAGGTTTATGATGGGTCAGTCCTCCTGCATGCTCAGATCATTCCCTTCCCTTGCTTGAAAAATTTTTGCAAAATGAAAGTTGAACCCACATCTTTTTTATCTGTGAATTCAATGCCGTTCGGCGAGTCTCAAATACAAATTTGGGCATCTTACTGTAAAAAAATATACCATTAATGTAAAAAAGAAACTCTAAATGAACTATGTTCACATCCAGAATCAAACCCAGGACTTCTGCATGAGAGTCAGACATCTTACTAGGTGAGCTACACTCTAGTAACATTCACAGTATCTGTAACTTTTACATCCTTGATGACAGCTGAAACAACGTCAAACCAAAGAACGGTTCGGAGTGAAAATGGCTATTTTGTTGCTAATTAGCAGGAAATATCTAGAAGAAAGTTCTACAGAAAGTAGCTAAGGGTCCTCAGAAATGTAGCTAGCTTTGTCACTAGGCGTTAGGAACAGCGACAAAGTGGCACTGCCTCTCTCTCTGCTGCTAAAGCTACGGATAGCAAATGCTACGGGCGATGCCTGAGCGTGAACGCGCATGAAGCAGCCTGCTCGACCCGAGCATCTCTCTTTTTCTGTGATTTTACAGAAAAACAGGCAATCACAGTAAAAATGCCAGGGCTCATTCTACAGGACCAGGGCATTGCAGGAGAATGTATGAAGAAGACATTTATTATTTCTATACATGTTTTGGCTGTCACACTTCCATAATGCCCCTTTAAAGCAGAACAAAGCAAGACATCAAACAGCAACAGAAGCATGTCAAACATCTTCACACACAATGGTGACTGCATTATGAGGAATGTAAACACCCTGCAGGATTACGCGATGGCCATCTGTCTCGTTCAACTGATATCAGCCGTTAAAAACAACTTAAACAAGAGTCCAGAATGAGATCATCTTCTTTATTCTGTGTTGTTCACGCCAAACCTGCAGAAGGTTTTTCCAGGATGAACGATTGTGGGATTTCCGACCTGACACAATGCATGAACAAAAAAAAAACCCAATATCGCTGCTCATTAAGTAAAACAACATGTACTTCTCTTTTCAGCTTATTTGCATAATAATTATGTTCACACAGCATTTTTGTTTATGTTTATTCATTTAGCAGACGCTTTTATCCAAAGCGACTTACAGTTTATAACCTGTAGGGCATGATGTGACCTGTGGGGGAAACCGGAGTACCCGGAGGAAACCCACGCATGAATGGGGAGAACACGCAACTCCACGCAGAAAGGCCGCAGCCGAGTTTCGAACCTGCAAGGCACCAGTGCTAACCACTTCTCCACCGTGCAGCCCAGCATTTAAATGTAATCAAACACAGATGCAGCACACAGTTAACACATTTAGAAGCGAAAAGCAAAACAACAACTAGCTTTTCTCTAACTGTTGGGTGTTTTAGGAGAAACAGTGCCTTAATGAAATCTTCACCCCCTTTGGAAATGTTTCTCTAATACAGGCCCAGGCCTGTATTTGACTCAAGCTCATCAAGCTCCAGGCCTTTATTGGAAGGGGGGGGGGGGCAGAATTAGAGGCAGGCCTCAATTTCTATTTGAGCAAAATGAAGTAATGGTTCGCTGGAGTTTTTGACAATTAAAATTGCGCCCACATTTTCAAAGTTAAACACGTTTCTTTTAACAACGGTAGTTTCTGCTTCAGCCCTCTCCCCCCTCCCCCTGCGCAGCGGCCGCAAACTCACTGATGCGCCTGCAGCCTCTTGGAGTTCCTGCTGCTCTAAACATTAAAATAATTATTTCATTTTCTGATCCTCACTTCTGATTACCTTCAATGGTGTCTGTTTGTTGCAACCAGCAGGTACAAAAACTAACTTGTTTTTATTTGACTATTTTTCTGTCCTGCCTGTTTATTATCTTCCTGCATCTCCTCTAAATCCTAAAGAAAAACTGCTACCTGGGTTCATATATATTCACCTTATGAGTTACCTTTGAACTGCAGTTCTAAAAGATCTACCGACCGCTAAAACAGCGGAGTGCTCCCTGCTTGGCGGCCGCATCAGTGATCGGTGCGTCGGAGGACAGGGTGATGTGCCCCGCTCCACAGCAGCGAAACACATCAGGCGCAAATAAAAGACAGAAAACATTAAAGGAAATGAACCGACATGAATGATCGCGTGTCAGTACCGACGCTCTGGCACAGCGCGTCGCCTCCCCGACGCGCTGTGCCAGAGCGTCGGGGAGGCGACGCTCTGGCACAGCGCGTTGCCCCCCAAGCGCAGGAGCTTGTCACCTGCTGACAGCAGGCTGCTGTCTTTTCCGAGGACTGCATCTTGCCGGTCATTATCAGGTGACAGCGACTAGTCGATGACAGGCATAAAAAGTCACTATAGTGAAGTCGACTAGTTCATACGACCCCTACTGCTCCCCAGAGTGTTCTGCAGCATAATCAGCACGTTCTCTTTGAACTTGATATCAAATTTTCGCCTCCTCTTCGTCTCCGCACGGTTAAAGTTACCCTCGCGGTCTATCACTGGCAAATCCAAAGTGAGACGATGACACAACCGCCCCCCGTACTTGCTTGTTACCACATTCCACCCGGCCACAATAAGAGACCGGCCATTATTCACCTCCGCCGACTCCGGCACCAGCCAAAATATGAGACCCGGCCGTTAATTCAATACAGGCCTGTATTAGAGGATTTACGGTATTTCACAGTTGTTAAAATTAAATGAATTTTTTTGTAAGGTTTGCACAATCTGAGAAACCCATTTTAAAGCACTGTTAGACGTTAGCATGTTTAGCCGCTGAGCTCTAAGTGCACCGAGGTGCCACAGTTTCCATGCAGATTTTTGCTTTTTCAGCGATTCCTCCCACAGTTCAGAATAATTATATTTGCTCATTCTTTTGCTGAAAACTAAACTTCTGTCATACCAGACATTTGCTGACATCCTGAAACAGATTTCCATCCAGTTTTTAGTCGCTTTGTTATTCAAGGTTTTATTTTTGTTGCCACAGCATGATATTGCCACCTCCGTGCTTAATTTTGAAAGCCCCCAGAGTACGATTTGAATTAGATGTATACCCAAATAACCTGAAGGTTTAAATGAATAAGTGTGTATTTGTAGATTTCAGTATTTTACATGCAAAAGGAGTAATAACCCGGTCATGGAGGTATATTTAAAGACCACCTGTGGGCAGATAGTTATCTGAATCATCAACAGGACTTCCTCTGGAGAAAAATATAATGAAACGTCAGCCGATATTAATGGTAGACCAATTTTATCGGACATCCATGATAATTTATTTAAGGACTATCTGAATGTTCACTAAACAAATATCTAACCAAGTACAGATGAATAAATCTGAGGTGGTGAGAGATTCTGGCTCAGATCCAAACCTGAAAGGGTTTTGTAGATTTTAACGGATTAGTTCCTAAGAGAGGAGATTTGCGTCTTCAAGGAACCTCTAAACAGAACAGTTCTGTTATCACTAAGAGACAACTCACTGATTACTCTTCTTAGACTTAAATATTGTGTTTTATATGTTTCATGTGATTACATAGAAAGAAGAATGTCTGAGAAACATTTATCTCCTCCAAGTTTCTTTATCTTCATGTCCTCTAAAGGAATAAGACTCTTTGATGTTCAGAAACACACGCGCATGCTGACTGGATATTCCAGTGGTCTCCACCATAATGTTCTGCAGAAGAAAGGTCAGGAGGAGGCTGCTTTCTGTAAGCGGCGAGCTTATCTCTGAAACGACTAACAAAGTGGATTGTTCTTTTTATGATCCTCTTAAATCTGTAAGATCACGTTATCTTCATCCCCAAATGGCTCCACTGCATGCTCATATCTGATGTCCCACACACAAATGCATCTTATCTGACTGGCTGAGCATCATCTAGAGGTTGCTGAGGAGAAACACTCTCCTGTTCTGTGAGTGGATGTTGCACAGAAGGGTGGAGAACCTCGTGTGTGTGTATTTTACTCTTTCAGTTTTTTATTGATTTACTAACACCTCTAGTTTGACATCTTTGGTTTTTTTAAGCTTCACACACACACACACACACACACACACACACACACACACACACACACACACACACACACACACACACACACACACACACACACACACACACACACACACACACACACAAGCATGTCTCTTCTTC